CACAGGCTCTGTCGTGGCTAGGAGGGGCAGGAATGCCTGCCCAGGGCAGGGGCTGCACCCTGTAGGCCATGTGGACCGAAGGAGCTCCCTCCCCAGCCCCCGCCTGGCCCTCCGCCTGTGGGCCTCAGCTTCTGGTCTGGAGAGCAGCCCAGGCAGAGTGACCGCGGCTGCACTGGGATAGGCATTAACTGTCTTGAAACACGCTCCAGAAACCAAATTCCAGCCGGCACCAGGGTGGGGTGGGGGAGGGGTAAAGGCAGGCGGAGCTGCTGCTTCCCTGGGCCAGCACCTGCTTCCAGGCAGAGCCTCGGGCAGGGCGGACAGGAGGCTGGGGGAGGGGACAAGGAAGGGAGAGGGCGTTTGACTGGAAAGCAGGTGGAGAGAGGTGCGGGGAGGTGGGGGGAGGTGGGGGGAGGTGGGGGGAGGCGGGGGAGGTGGGGGGAGGCGGGAGAGGTGCGGGGAGGTGGGGAGAGGTGGGGGGAGGTGGGGAGAGGTGCGGGGAGGTGGGAGAGGTGGGGGGAGGTGGGAGAGGTGCGGGGAGGTGGGAGAGGTGGGGGGACGTGGGGAGAGGTGCGGGGAGGTGGGGGAGGTGGGGGGAGATGGGGACAGGGCGACAGGGCTCCTTCCAGAAGGCAGGCAGGGTGCACTTGGCGGGGGAGGGGGAGAAGGGCCGGCGGGTCCTCCCACGCCCGGCCTCAGTCCTGGACCTCCTAGGGGACGACAGCGGAAGCCGCCTGGGCCCTGTGCTCCGGGGACCTGGGGCGTAACCCCTGAAACTCGACAGCGAAGAGGGACAGCGCGTCCGCGCCACTGGCCGCCTCCGGGGTCTCCTTGCCTGGGAGCGGCGGCTGGAGGAGACCCAGGCGCTCACCTGCGGGGGTCCAGGTCCGGCTCCTAGTCGGGCTCCAGGCGGGCAGGGTAGAGGCGCCACCACTGTGTCGCCCTCCGGGTGGAACCACGTGGGGGGCAGCGGTGATGGAAGGGGTTGACGCGGTCCGTGCTCCGGATTGGCCGGTGCCGCCCCCAACCGCACCCTTCCCCCCCCTTCTCTCGCCTCACCCCACCCCTCCCATCCCTCCCCACACCCTCCCCACCCCACCCCTCCCACCCCTCCCCGCACCCTCCCTTCCCCGCCAACCTCCCAGGCAGCGCAGATCCGCCGGGGTCTTACCGTCCTGGGGGTCGCAGGGTCCCAGAGTTGCGGATCTCGGGGGTCGCCCCCTTCGAGGGTCGCTCCATCCCCGAGTCGCACGTGCCCTGATGGCCGGGCCGGGGCTGCAGCTTCCAGCCTTGGAGAGGTGAGCGCGCGCCACCCACCCCGGGACGGGACGCCCCCTGCGCGGATGGGTTCCGTGCCCTGCAGGCTGCTGGCGACCCGGCGCCGGATTCCTCCCCGACCTCACGGCCTGGACAGTCCCTCGGAACGACGGCCCGCGTCTCGGACCAGACCCAGGCGTGCACCGGAACCCATCGCCGCGGACCCTGGGCGGGCAGCACAGAGCGCGGAGGGGACCTGGCCTGGGTGGCGGGGAGGGCGCGTCCGGGGTTTGCCGGGCTGATGGGCCAGGTCCAGCCCTGGGGGTGGGAAGACTCCCCGCAGTGGAGCGCTAGGAAGCAGGTGGCGTTATCACCTGTGCAAAAACCAGCCCACGGCCCAGGAGGCAAGTGGAAGCTTCACTGCCCAGGGAGATTTACCCCCTGTGAGGGTGACATTTGGGCAGACACCTTTAGGGGCCACGGAGGAGGCCTCTTGGATATCTGGGGAAAGACGTGGGTCCTAACTTGAGGGCCAGCAAGTGCAGAGGCCCCAAGCATGCTGTGGGTTGAGATAGGGGAGGGAGAGGGAGAGAGGGCGTCATTCCTGACCCCTGAGGCTCAGCGCCCTGACCCTAGCCTTGGCTACCTTCTGAGGCTCTGGGGTACCAGGTTCTAAGCCACCCAGCATCCGGCCCAGGGTGCTTCTCCCTGGTCCTGGTTCGGATTCCTCCTTCCCCTTCCTCCCACCGCCCCAGGCCTCAAACATCCCCAGCGCATTTTCCTTCAGAGTGCTGACCTTCCAGCATCTGACACTGTTCATTTTGACAGCCTGCCCGGTTGGAATCTAAGCACCAGCAGGGCAGATATTTTTTATCTGCTGTTTACTATCAAAACCCAAACACCTCCCAGAGCTGCTGGCACTGGAGAGTTTTTAGCGGTGAATAAGCTCATGTATCGGGGCCCAGCTCAAGGGCAGCAGCTCAGGTAGGGGCCTGGCAGCTCCAGTCCGTCACAATCAGCACAGCTGGCATCCTGCCTTACATGAAGTAGCTCCTAGGCGGATTCCACTCCCTTCTCCTCCTTTTCTTTCTGAGCTCCAGCAAGAACACAGCAATGCACCATTTACATGAAGGTGGTTCATGCCATCGACGCACGTGCGCAGTGAGGACAGCTGGGGTGGCAAAGAGCTCCCATGCTGCGTCGAGAGGTCACAGACCAGCAGGAGCCAGAAACCTTAAGACGGGCTTGATGTCTTGGTGCCCGGGTGTTGTGTATCTGCCTGGCCGATTTTCGCTTTTTGTGTTTGTTTTTCTGTTTGGTAGAAGAGGGGGGACGGCTTCTGTGTTCGCCTGCCCTTGTGGTATGGAAGCAGCCTTTTCATCCCACCTTTCACCCAGTCAGGCAGTGAACCTACTCTCAGTCCACCGTGATCTCCATGGGGCCCTCACTCCATCGTCCTCTCGATCCTGTGCTCCGTGGAGGTGGGCTGAGCAGACTCAGTCCCCCACGTAGCCCCAGATGATGGCTGCCCGCTGTTTGGAGCTGGCTGTGATCTCACTTTTGCGTCTCAGCTCAGTATTACCTCCTTTCCTTGTAGATTTTTTTTTTTTTTTTTTTTTTTGAGATGGAGTCTTGCTCTGTCTCCCAGGCTGGAGTGCAGCGGTGCGACCTTGGCTCACTGCAACCTCCGCCTCCTGGGTTCAAGCGATTCTCCTGCCTCAGCTTCCTGAGTAGCTGGGATTACAGGCGCACACCCCCATGCCAGGCTAATTTTTGTATTTTCAGTAGAGACAGGGTTTCGCCATGTTGGTCAGATTGACCTTGAACTCCTGACCTCAGATAATCCGCCCAGCTCAGCCTCCCGAAGTGCTGGGATTACAGGTGTGAGCCACCGTGCCCACCTGTAGATCTCTTCATTCTCCGCATTGTCACAAAATGGCCAGCATGCAAGAATTATGAGGTTACTTTGTGAAAAGGGTGGTGAGTGCCAGGTGTTGTTGATGTCCAGTACGTAAGTGTGTCAACATACACAGTTATCACGCACAGCCACAGCTACTCCATGGAGAGCGCGAACTGGGATTCCACCTGGGAGCCTCGCAGCGTCACCACGACTCCGCAGCTCTGGCTCTGCCGGCTCCAACTCACCAGACACGCAACTCGCCAAGCCTCGTCTGTCCAGAAGGTGCCAGAATAACAGCTGTGGGTGCAGCCATGACGCCAGCCATCCGGGGACACGGTTCCCTGGTGTGACATTTGTTTAATAAAACAGCAAATGGCGCTTGACCATTTGGATTGGGAGTTTAATGCTTCTTTCTCCCTAAGAAAAGATAGAAATATTTATGTCTGGGAAGAGGAAGAGGAAGAGGAGGAGAACGAGGCCGTCACTTCAGATTTTAATGGAGAAGACAAGGAAGACAATTCATAAAAATGATGTTTCACTATTTGCAGAGAAAAACGTCTGGAGGGAAATAAAATATACCAAAAGGAGTAAGCTCTCCAGGTTTTTTTTTTTTTTGGTTTTTAAAAATGAATAGTTATTTGTATAATGAGCATTAACAGAAAGAATGAAAACAGCCTTGCTGAAGAGCGAACGCTGTAGTTCTAGGAAACAAGGAGAATGGCTGCTGGGTTTCCCCGCTTTTGATTTCTGGCTGCAGACAGAGGGCAGAGCTTCGGGGCTGCTTTCCATCACCTGGTCTTTAGCGGCGTCCTGAGTAACTCGCCCCCAAACAGCTGCGCCAATTCCGCGCTGGCAAGCGCTTCTGCGGTCAAATTTGGCTGCAGGTGTGTCGTATTTTGTGGCTTTTAAAGGCTCTCTGTCGCCCTTCTCTGAAGATAAGCTTTGTCTTTGGACCACACCCACCTGAAACCCATGCTCCTGACACTGGCCTGCTGCCACACCTCACCATGTGATTTTCTCTTACATGGAACAGTTTTTAAGCGATTTCCCTTTTTTTGGTGTCTTGCTTTTTAAAGGGCAGCTCCGGGAACACTCACTCATTGGAATGAGTAATGGCACAGCCACTTTGGAAGACAGTTTGAAAGCATCTCACGAGACAATGTCCTGTGACCACAGGACCCAGCAACCACACTCCTTGGTATTCAGAGGAGCTGAGCTCCCGTAGTCCCAGCTTCTCAGGAGGCTGAGGTGCCACTGCACTCCAGGTTGGGCGACGGAGCTGCCAGGCAAGGTGTCACAGCCCCAGCATCAGAAAAATGTTCAGTTCACAGGTCGTAGGATAGTAAGAAGAATTTACAGATGGCGGCATGGGTTTGAAAAAGGAACATTTTAGGAGAACGAAAGAACGTTGCAGAGGAGGAGTGTGTGAGCATCTCCATGAGGGGACCGAGCGATGGTGGATTTTTCTTAGGGGCATTTATGGACCTCAGAGCAGGAGCTGAAGGGAAATTTGGGCCCTATCAGCAACGGAGGTCACAACCAGTGACTACCTGTAGGTGTTCTGGTGCCCTGATGTCAGCAAGGGTTGCAAGTGAGTTTCCACATGCATGACTTCCAGAGACGTAGAGAAATCCTACTTATGAATTTTTGGAAAGAGGCCTGGAACCAGACGCCGGCTTTAGATAATATCCCTAATGGCTTCTGGATTTCTCGGGTAGGGAGTGCTGTCACCAGATGATCTTCGCTCTCCTCAAGAGCCAGACCCTGTCTCAAAAAAAAAAACGGGGTGGGGCTGGGGAGGAGTAGAGCGGGGAGTATTTTGAAGACTTGAGGAAGAGTTAATGGACAGTGACGGGGCTGTCTGAGGGTCTTACCTCATGGTTGCCCCTGGGCCGTGGGCAGGTTCCAGCCAGGCAGAGGGTGGAAGGAGGTGTGGACAGCCACCCACAGAGGCTGCCATTCCTTAGCCAGGGCTGATCTCTGCAGGAGGGCGGACGCGTGAAGGAAGGATGGGGAGGAATGGAGGACAGAGGAGAGAATGAGGGTGGGACCATGCCAGGCCCTCCCTGCAGGTGCTGGGAGAAAACCTCCCCTTTTCATTTTCGAAGGACAATGTCAAAACAACTTAACGTCTTTCCAAACGTAGTTCCCTGAACCCCCCGCTGAAGGACGTGCCGCAGGAGAAACACATGAAGGAAACATGCTCCTCCCACGCCTTCCTGGCCAGCAGGCTATAGGAGCTTGTCTGCTGTGAGACGGAGCAGGTCCTGAAGTCCTTCCTGAAGGCTGGAATTTTCACACAAGTTTCTCACTACATAGCACTAAAAATCCAGCAAGGTGAAAGATCGTGAGTTATTACCTCAACAATTCGCAAAGGTCAGAATCGTGATTTCTGTGCCATTCCTCTGGTAACAAGTTTTCTTCCTTTTCAGTTGCAGGATGTTTTGGCCGGGTGATGGGCACGTAGCGTGACGCCACCTGGTGAGCTGTGTTTAAACAGAATTTAAAGAACAAGGGACCTGGTGCGGTGGCTCACGCCTGTCGTCCCAGAACTTTGGGAGGCTGAGGCAGGTGGATCACTTGAGGTCAGGAGTTCGAGACCAGCCTGGCCAACATGGTGAAACCCCAGCTCTACTAAAAATACAAAAGTTAGTCTGGCGTGGTGGTGGGAGCCTGTAATCCCAGCTACTCGGGAGGCTGAGGCAGGAGAATCTTCTGAACCCTGGAGGTGGAGGTTGCAGTGAGCCGAGATTGTTCCACTGCAGTTCAGCCTGGGGGACAGAGCAAGACTCAGTCTGAAAACAAACAAACAAATTGGGGAAGGGGGAAGGCCCGTGGGGAGAGGGAATCTGCAGTCACCCGAGGCCTGGCCAGGCTGGACCACGTGTCTCCCACATGGCGCCCTGCACTGGGATAGCGGCTGGCAGGATGCCCAAGGCGCCCACTCTGATCTGAGCATCCCTCAGGGACATTTGCAGATTAAGGCCAACAAGAACCACTTACCATCAGTTCTGAATTCTTGTAAGTCAGGCATCTTCTCACCCCGACGCAATAAGCCTTCCGTATGACAAAATCCGATTATTTGCCTAATAAAAATCTCCGAGAATATTTCATGCTGACCTTCCTTAAAAATAAATGTGGAAGCTGGGAGGGGTTTGCGAGAGCTCTCTGCCCCATGTTGGGTCGGGCGGACACAGTCGGGATGTGGAGTTTCCTGTGATATCCACCTGCTTATATTCATATTATGCACCTGCAGCTTGTCCCAAATGTCGTCAGCATAGACCAGTTCCCTTCCTGACAGAGGCTTCGACCATCTGGAGAATATCCAGCCATGCATTTCTGTTCCCAGGTAAGATGTACCAGTGTTTGCACCATTTCTTCCTGGCGCTGGATCTGGAAGATTAAAGATTCTGTGTGGGTTAAACATTTAGTAACAGAATGTGGCAATGTCTCTGTTTCTAATTACTCATTTGCTAATCTCACCTCAAAATTTAACCGTTTAGCAGACATTTAAACAAATCTAAATTAACATTTAAGCAAATCAAACTTAAGATGAAGATTTCAAATCTTAAATGAACCAGGATTTTGTAAACTTGATTTTGATTAGTAAAGTAAAAATTATTTTTATTAACTAGAGCAACCTTTTGAGTCTTTGCAGATATTGTCTTGAGAGTCAGAGGCATGGCTCTGGAACATTCCATGAAGATGATTTTCATAATGATCCAGCTCTGAAAAGGTCTAGCATTTGCCCCTGGGTTCCTGAGAGAGAGGCGGGGAAGGAGGGGAGGAGGAAAAGAGATAGGGTTACTTTACTAATCAAAATTGAGTTTGCAAAATCTTGCTTGGTTTAAGATCTGAAATCTTCATCTTAAGTTTGATTTGTTTAAATGTTAATTTTAATTTGTTTAACTGTCTGCTAAAGAGTTAAATTTTTGAGGTGAGATTTAAAAATTAGTAATTAGAAAAAAAAGCATTGCTCCTATTCTGTTACTAACTGTTAAGGTCTGGGACCCCGAGGGGCAGGTCACTGTGAGACGTGGGTCAGGCTGGGTGATGGTCCGAGTTGTCCAGAGCCATGACATTCGGGAGACTGTGCGCTCCTCACGAGTCCGAGACCCCTGGAGGGAGGTGCTCACGGTGGGCACCTCGGCTGGCCTCCAGTGGGCAGGTAGGGTGTGGCTTAAACTGGAAAGAGATGGGGTTACACGTTTAATTCCAAAACGACAATAAACAATGCCCATCCTTTATCATTCCAGGAGGTGCCTGCCTTGTGTGGAGAGCTTGGCTTTTCTCCTCACGGACATGAGCTCCATCGAGGTGCCCACGGTGTCAATTTCTTAAGAGCTACTGTGACAAAGGGCCACAAACCCAGCAGCTGAAAACAATGGAGCTTTCCTGTCCCACAGCTCTGGAGGCTGGAGCCCAGTGCCAAGGTGTGGGCAGGGCTGTGCTCCCCCACGTCCCTGGGGAGGAGCCTTCCTGCCTCTTCCTGGATCCAGGCATTGCTGGCCATGCTCGGTCCTCTCTGGCTTGCAGACACTCTGCCCCGAGCTCTGCCTTCCCAACATGGGACGGTCCTCTCCGTGTGTCTGTCTTGCTTCCTCTCTAATGGGGACACCGTCATATTGAATTAAGGGCCCACTCTATTCCAGGTGGCCTCGTCTTAACTAATTACATCTCTGAAACGAGCCTGTTTCCAAGCAAGGGCACGTCCTGAGGTCCTGGGGGTTAGGACATCAGCAGCTCTTTTGGGAGCAGACACTGTTCAATTCATGTGATACATTCCTTAGGAGATGTGATTCTTTATTTTGAGGTTGTGGCTGCTCTCACCAGGACTAGGGTTAAAGAGAGGCAAGGCCATTCCCCAGGCTTCCTGTTTCTAGGCTAAATGCAGGTGTTCGCAGCACTGCATGGATGGAGAGCCCTGGTTTCTCCCGGACCAGATTGACTTTCTGGCCATGTTTTGTAGGAACGCACCTGCCTTCTGACCCAGCTGGGCCAAGAGATTCGCTGTAAGAAGGCTCTGCTGCCAGCCGATGGCACTCAGGCCTAACGAGGGACACCCCACATTACCTTTTCTATGAGCACCCCCAGCCATGTAGGGTGACACTTCCACAGCTAAGCAGCAAAGTGACATTATCAACGCCATCAAATACTGGCAAGTGCTCTTGTTCAGATGGAAAGAGCTCAGAGTGAAATTTAAGCACCGCAATAGGGAGACAAAGCCAAGCTTTCCACATGTCCAGGGCGGGGTGATGGGGAAGGATGGAAACCCCACTGAATTGTCTTCTTATCAAACAGAGAATAGCAGTGAGCAGGAGCCAGTGTCTGAGGTTTCAGGGAGCTCGGAATCAAGCCAGATGGAACTCATCTCTACACTGAGATCTAGAGTTGGGAGATTTCAGTAACAGGTAACAGATACACAGTCACTCAACTGCAAAGCTTTAAGAAGCCTGTCTGCAACAGACGGGCGCCTCAGTAGCATGTGCACTGTGCCTTTCCGACTGCCTCTAGTGTAACGACTGTGTTTCGGTTGCTTTTGATTGATGAAGCTAAGGTTGTGAGACGTGCGATGTTGCACAGTGATGCCTTCAGGCTGGATAAGGTGCCTGTCACTGGATGCACCCGCCCTGAGGCTTCCAGATGCTGTCACATGAACAAAAATCCCTATTTCTTTCCCCTTCATTATCAGCCCATCAGTCATCACTTCTTGACATGATCAATATTTCTTCTCTCGCCCCCTTAATTTCCTTCCTCCAGTCTGCCACGGCATGGCAAACCAGCTCAAGAAAGGCTGTAAGAAAGGAACTGCAGGTCACGGTAAATGGGCTCTGTGTAAATGACCAGCCATTCCTAGCTGAGTAAAATGAATGACCTTTGTACCTGAACTCTGGGCCCTTTACAGACTCATTCAGAGAGCTCTTTCCAGCCCACTTCTTAATTCTCTTGTGTTTCGGATGGCTGAGCATCTCCCAGAAGGGACTTTCAGAGAGGGAACATGCCATCAACTCAAATCCAACCTGCTACGAGATGCAGGATTGAAGCACGTGAGCAATAACATGAATTTGAAGAACGTTGTCAGTGAAAGCCAGACAATTTTATAACACGTTATTATATCCCGGTGACTAAGAGCTTCTAATTACTGTGGTTAAAAATTACAATGTTGTGTTGTTTTCTATCTGATAACTTTGTAAACTGTATACAGCAAGACTAAGTGTCATACTTAGATGTCCCCACACTTGGGAAGGCGTGGTTAGTACCAGCAGAAGGGAAGAGAGAATGCGATCGTGGAGGCGGTGAAGCATTTTCCCTGTCAAATCCTATGTCAAATTGAAGATTCATTCAATTCAATCAACAGCGAGTGCTCAGTTTCCCTCCGTGTCCCCACAAAGGGGGCAATGTCTCAACTGCAGACCACATACATTTGAATGAGACAAGGTTGGCATGAGATGGAATATTGAATGTGTGATTGACAAGTTGTGGTGTTGGGAGGATAAGTGGCAGGATGTTGGATGGAAAGTTACTGGTGGAAGCTACTTAGGTTTGTTGTAGGAAATGAGTATCTGACTCTGGCTGTGAACGGGTTCACCAGTCTAATCAATACGAAACCGTGTAGACGCTCTCGAAGATGGCCACAGACCCCGGAGTCCAGTCGCCTTCCTGTGGGCCCCCAGCAGGCATCAGTCCAGCCCCAGGAAAGGCTGGACCCGCTGAGGGGCTCAATCCAGGGGGAGCAGCAGAGAGACACCAGGATGAGTCCATTTTCTAAATTCAGTACCGGGGCGAGCAGTAGGCTGCCGTTTGCTGGTGTGAGGGACATGAGGAGGGCCAGGTGGATGAGGAGTTCACCTTTGTTTATGTTACTTTTAAGAGATATCCAATTTGTGAGATTACAATTTGCTACATTTGTGAGACATCCAATAACTCAGTTAGAGCAGGGCACAGTATTCTGGGTGGACCCCAGACCACATACATTTTAACAGAGAAGGTTGGTATTAGGGCCTGGTTGGGGCCTCCTCACCCCATGACTGTCCCCTCCATGTGGCTGACGTGGCAGTGGAGGCGGCTGCTCCCCCTCAGATGTTCCCCAAGGAACCATCAAAACAGGCAGAAGGGAGCAGGGAAGCTTCCGGAAGGAGAGGATGTGGGCTCTCAGGGTGAGTGGGAATGGCCGGGCCTTGGGGGAGGGAGGAGGAAGGCGGTTCACAGACACGGGAGTCCCGTGGAGCTGCATGAAGACACAAAAGTGTAACTGATTGCAGGTGATATGATCATTTATGTCAATAAAAACCTAAATATGGTAAGGAGTTCAATTCTTTTAAAAAATAATTTGTAGTATACTGAATTTCTAATTAAAATAACCAGTTAAAAAAATTTAGTGAAGAACACGTAGATGAAAATAGCCAAGGAGATGCTGGAGGAGGTGGACAGGGCACAGCCTCAGCAGAGGACGGAAGGATAGACGGGGAGACAGCGCTGTGGGGACGGGCAGAAGGAGCAGGTCCCAAGGTGGACAAATCCGCTGTGCGGAAGATCACGGGCGAATCCGCTGTGTGGAAGATCACGGGCGTGGGTCAGAAGAGGGAGCATCGTGTGACAGACAGCGCTGGGAGGACCACTGAGCACAGAAAACCTTAGATTCTCACTCCATGCTCTACGCTAAAACAATCCCATCGTAGTCACAGGGTAACAGGTGTCAAACATGAGCCACAGCACAATAAAAGGCCGTTAGTCTCACCGGTATTTCCACAGGATGCTTCCTGTGTCGCTGTTTCTGTGATCACAGAAGTAGAGAAAATATTGACACCAGCAATGGGGAATTGGAAAGTATTACTTTGCATCGAGTTGACAGGGTATTTTTGTAGATTGTAAAAATCGTATTTTACAACATTTTTTCGCATGGGAAATTTTTATTTAATGAAAGTACAGGATATGACAGTATAATACAACCCACAGGAAAGAAATACAGTAAAGCGTTAGCAGTCATGATCAGAAGACGGAATTTTGTTTTCTGTGTTACTTTTATAGCAAAGAAAAGTCCGGAGGCCAGATCAGCCTCCTCCCCGTTGAGGTGCTCGGGCAAAGTTTTCTTTGGGGCTTAAATGGATGCCGGATGCCGTCAGTCTGAATTCTCTGTGTGCGTGTGGAGAATTGCTGTCAAAGGGAAACGTGGATATCGACTTTGAGACCTTTCTATGTGACTTCTGCCAAACTTCGGCTACAGCAACCGTGCGACAACTGTGTGCGGTTCTCAGTGCCAAGACTCGGCTGAGAAAACTGGGCAGAGCCTGGTCCCGACAGCCAGCCAGGGCACCTGCCACGTGTGTGCCACAGCTCTGGGATGCGGGCTCTGCCAGCCTTTCCCTGTACGTAACCCACAGAGGGTTGCCCCAGCTCGTGAGGAGTCAGTGCATAACCTCATCAGCAGAAACCTCGGAGAGTGATAATCACCAGTGGAGATTCTCCATCTCTCAGATTCGTTTACGTTTTTGCATAAACCACAGGATCTGCTTGGATCTCGGAATGACTTCTGTTCACTGTGGCAGGAACTGAAGCCTGCAGACCCATGAGTGGGGTGTGGAGGAGTGCAGAGACTCGCTCGTCATTGTCAGCCTCTGCTGGTGCCTTCTGCACTTTATCTTCCGTCACCGTGAACAAAAGAGAGTTTGGTAGAAGATACAGAGAAGATCTGATAAGGATGAAACAGAACAAAACAACAAAAACCCCCCGTAAGTGAAGCCCTCGAACCATCGGTACAAACACCAGATGGAGAAACAGAGAGGTGGTCAGAATACACCGGCAGCAGGTGTCCCTGTGCCATCCGGTCACTTTCATGCCATCTCCGAAACGGGAAGAACTGCCCTCGGTGTGAGAGAGCCCACGTCTCCAGGGAGGGAAGCGGGCTGGCAGGCACTGCACTCTGGGAAGGACAGGTACCGCTGCGCTCCGGAGAACGAGGTGGGAATCTTTTCAAGACGTCTAACCTGGTGAAGACGCCAGGACAATCGGCCTGGGAGTACTGTTTGTCTCCCTGCTTGCAACCCGTGATCCCCGAGACTAGGTCAGGGAAAGAGAGTGAGAGATAAAGCCCGATGCCTGTGGGGAGGGCGGCCCCCTTCACCTGCAGCCTTCTCCCCAACCCCTGCTCACCTCTGTCTCCCTCTGCCCCTCTGTCTCTGTCTCTCTCTGTCTCTGTCTCTCTCCATCTGTCTCTGTCTTTCTCCATCTGTCTCTGTCTCTCTCCATCTGTCTGTCTCTGTCTCTTTCCATCTCTCTGTCTCTGTCTCTCTCCATCTCTCTGCTTTTTGTCTCTCTCCCTCTCTGTTTTTCTCCCTCTGTCTCCCATTGTCTGTCTTTCTTTGTCTCCCTCTGACTCTGTCTCTCTGTCTCCCCAATCTTTCTCTCTGTCTCCCTCTCTGTCATTCTCTGTCTCTCTGTCCCTATCTGTCTGTGTCTTCCCTGCTCTGTCTCTGTCTGCCTGTGTCTCCCTGCTCTGTCTCTTTGTCTCTATCTGCCTGTGCCTCCCCCGCTCTGTCTCTCTATCTCTGTCTGTCTGTGTCTCCCCCGCTCTGTCTCTCTGTCTCTATCTCTCTGTCTCCCCCATCTTTCTCTGTCTCCCTCTCTGTCTTTCCCTGTCTCTCTGTCTCTATCTGTCTGTGTCTCCCCCGCTCTGTCTCTCTGTCTCTGTCTGCCTGTGTCTCCCTGCTCTCTCTCTATCTCTGTCTGTGTCTCCCCCACTCTGTCTCTCTGTCTCTATCTCTCTGTCTCCCCCATCTTTCTCTGTCTCCCTCTCTGTCTTTCCCTGTCTCTGTCTCTATCTGTCTGTGTCTCCCCCGCTCTGTCTCTCTGTCTCTGTCTGCCTGTGTCTCCCCGGCTCACTCTGTCTCCCTCTCTCTCTTCCTTTTACTGTTTTCATTCTCTCTTTCTTTCGGGATTTTTCCTCTCAGATAATACGATGTAATAATTTGTGAAAGTCAGCAGTGTCTTATCAGTGTCTTCTCAAGAGACACCCGCTCAGTTACTTCAAAGGTCAGGACAGAGCTGGAGACCCCGCCCCACCATCCAGCATCCCCAGAGTGGTCCAGGCCAGGCTTCCTCGGCAAGCCAAAAGTGCTGTTCCCGTCCCTTATGCATGGGAGACCCAGGGTGTCCCCGTTTGGCCTTCACTTTGCCTGTGAAAGGGAAGAATCCCTCCTCTCATCTCAGAGAGGCTGGGTGTCGCCTCAGGGTGCTGACGGCCTTGAACCAGGGCTAGACCTGGACCCAGCCACATGTCAGCCAGGCTGAGCCCACCTGAAGCTGCTCCCTGAAGCCACAGTTAGGGAAGCACTTGCAACAGCACGAGGAAGGCTGCGTCAGAGGAGGGTGTGCTCCTGGAGAACCAGTGACCGGCCGACATGCCTTTAGCCTGACAGTGGCCACAGCCCAAATCACCGTGGCCTTGGGAGCCAGCAGCTGGGACGAGCTGGGACACAGCACTCAGAACTGAAGGGCTGGGGCAGGGTTGCTGCATCACAAATACATTTTTTAAGATTTCCAAATTTAGATATTGTTACACTGCTTTTCCATTAAACATGATAAACATTAGTCATTTGGCAAGGTACGACAGTGCCACGTTCTGCACTCCCGTGTTCCTTCTGCTCGTGATTTCTGCATTCGTTCTGAGATACATTATCACGAGCTCAGCCTGCGCTTTTCAGCATTAGAGTTGAGTGCCAAGCTTCACCGGAAGTCTTACCTACCTATTCCCCCATCCACCCACATACCCATCGACCCATCCACCCACCTATTCCATCCACTCATTCATCTAAGCATTCATCTGCCCACCCACCCATCCACCCACCTACCCACCCATCCACCCACCTATTCCATCCACTCATTCATCTAAGCATTCATCTGCCCACCCACCCACCCACCCATCCACCCACCTATTCCATCCACTCATTCATCTAAGCATTCATCTGCCCACCCACCCATCCACCCATCCACCCACCTATTCCATCCACTCATTCATCTAAGCATTCATCTGCCCACCCACCCATCCACCCATCCACCCACCTATTCCATCCCCTCATTCATCTAACCATCTGCCCACCCACCCATCCACCCACCCACCCACCCATCCACCCACCTATTCCATCCACTCATTCATCTAAGCATTCATCTGCCCACCCACCCATCCACCCATCTACCCACCTGTCAACCCATCCTGTTTTCCCATGGATCTGGGCAGCAGAGACAAAACCAGGTTCTCTTCCAGAAGGGCCGGGTCAGCCAAGAGCTGTCCTCATCATGAGCAGGGCGGGGGTGACTCCTCCACCACCCTCCTGACCCAGCCAGCACAACGGATTCCCGGGACCACAGGCCACGCTGGGCGAGACACAAAACCCCCAGCACACAGGAGGCTTCTGAGGGCAGCAGCCGCAGTGAGACGTGTGGTTCTGATGCCGAATAGGGTGATCTGGAAGTTGAAATGAAGACTTTTGAGAGGCAGAGAGTGACTGGAAATCACAGATTGCACTCGAGTAAAAATATCACAAATTAAAGGGTACATTTTATCTAGGGCCACAAATGTTTTTCCACAATAATCGCTTTTTTTATGGAATTATGGGATTTTTGAGACAAGGTTGTATCACACTGAGATCCGAGTAACTAAACTGTGAGCTCCCTGTTACACCAGGAAATTAATTACGTTTTAATTTTACAAATTACCCGGAGCCGCCGGGCTGGGTGGGCTCGTGGCGCCCTCTGCTGGTCACATGCAGAGCTGCCCCGTGTGTTTTTTGGCTGAGGTCCCTGTGCCCCAAAGCCTCTTTTCCTTCCCTCCGCAATTCGCAGTAGAGTTGTTTTCTGCGGGGAAACGGCTTTCTCCTGGTTGTCCACACTCCACCTCCTGTCATGCAGCATCTCTGAGCCAAGAGAAAGAGAAACCGCCCTGAAAAGCAGCCGCTGCGCAGGCAGAGTGACGGTGGTTAAGCGCCGAACCCTCGGCCCACCTGCGCCCGCCTGCTTCCCTTCCTGGCCTGCAAAATCAATAGGCATTTTGCTGCCTCTATACGTTCTCCTTTCAATACTGACATTGTTGAAACAGTTCAATGCTGTCAAGTTGAAGCGGGTTCCACTTTAATCGTACTGTGCATTAAATAGGTATCTGTACATTAACCTAGGACTAGCTGTGCGCTGGAGGTCCGTGTCCCCCAAAATTCACGTACTGAAATCTTCACCCTCAAGGTGATGGCATTAGGAAGTGGGGCTTTGGGAGGGGAGTCATTCACGAGGCCAGAGCGTCATGGACAAGATTAGC